CAAACCGCTCAAAACAGACTAGAGAATTTCAACAGAAGGAGCAAACCGCTCGAAAGGACTGCGCATCTGTGGCCACGCACTGCACCTGGTCAAGAGCTGCCTGACTCCGAAACCAGCGGCCAAAAGCCGACAACTGCTCCAGAACGCCCCCGTACTGTCACCACGGTGTGGATCGCATCCGCGGCATTGATGAAAAAAGGCTCAGACTGCCTGTTTTTGCCATCAGGCTTTTTCTGGCCAAGCAACGGCATAGTGCATTTCACCGTGCCGTCAACAGAAAGATAAGTGAACTCGTCATGCTTAACGCATTCCAGCAGGAGTTGATGATCAAGCCTCTAGCAAACTCTGGAGCTGAAGATGTCTTCCACCATAGGCCACCAAGACCTGCTGTGAACGGGTAAAAGGTTGGTTAGCCTGGACCCAGCCACAGAAGCATCAAGAATCATTCGGGTCCACGCAGTTTGCACCGGCAGGAAATGTCAACTCTGACAAACAACGACAATTGCTAACAACATCGCGCGGATGCTCACGCTGACTCACGCATGCCTTGCCCGAGTTGAACAGCATTTTCCTGAACAGCTTCTCGGCAAAGCAATGTGTGTAGTGAAGCTCCCCTGCTCTTCTCGCTTGCAAGGCAGCCACTGCGTCTGCTCGAGCATAGAAAGGTCCTGTAGCAAAACTGCGTACACAGCTGTCCGACAAATCGCCCTTAACCTGTCCTGCAGGAAAAGACGACACGCATGTGTCTGTCAATGGCATTGCGCTTGTGAGAGAGAGCTGGCTTAACCTGCCTTGCAGAACCACACTTCAAGTAAAGCAAACAACATGTAAGTCGTGCAGAAGCTGCTGCGGTTCTTGGTCTTGCAGATAAGCAGCTGGCGCAGGAGCTCGGCACTCTCTCGAAGGTAGCCCCGCTTCGGAAGCCCAGCTATGACATCGGTGTCGTGCAATGCCAGCACAACTTTCAGCTGCTTCGTTCCGGAGCTGCAGTATTGCTTCTTGCTGGTGTGCCGCTTTTGAATATGCTGCAACACGAACCGCGCCCTTCTGAAGCATCGCCAGGGACAGAAAGGACACCTCAGCCCTTGCCTGGTTTGCTCAAAGCAGTGTTTCTTTTTATCGCACATCAGCTCTGTTACCTCCTGCTCCATGCTCGCAATAAGCTTGCTGTCCGCGAGTACCTGCGCATCTGAATCCAGACATGGGCCACTATCATCTGCAGCTCGTTGCGCCTCAGACGTACTGCTAGCGACACTCTCTGGACAATCATCCTCAGATAGAACCTCGATTGCTTCGGCAGCACCAGCTTCAAGGTCCGGCAGCCCCTCCAAACCGTCAGGCTCCCAGCAAGTGTGCGGCGAGATCTGCTTTTCAGCATGCGTAACATTGAACAGAACGCAAGTGATGCCATCCACTCCGTCGCCCAACGCGCTGTCAAGCGATGAGGTTTGGATGGAGATGTTGTTGCTTGCGTCAAGCACCGTGATCTCCAGGCTCAAGTCATCGGGCACACAAAGTCCCACACAGGCCCACACAGTGCGGGGTGCCACCGTTTTCCATGTGCAACAGGAAATTACCCGGCTGCAATTGCATTGAGGTCGAGTCGTTCTCAGGAAGATGAGGGATAAGGTTGACACCTAAGAGCTTTTCACACTCTCTGTATGACCGTGTCGATGGTCTCGTCTCGTCGGCGCACGACTCTCGGCGCCTTGGCCTTGGGAATCAGCAACGACGGCCTGCTCCACGTCAGACGTTCGCTCTAGCAACAGACTCACTGCAGCTGGAATGCAAATGCCAGTTCCTGATTGTTCCGGATTCCGCTGGGGAAACGCGGACACCGTCATAGTGCAGGGATAAGTGCTTCGGATTCTGGCCGAGGAGATAGTCTGCTGCTGCTGACAGCACGACATCTTCCAGCGCGTGATAGAAATAAGAGAGAATTGAGGAATCCGGGTTCTTTTTCTTCGTCTCTGGTTGCTGAAATCTTGCATGCTCATCCGGAAAGCAAGAAATTGCAAGCCAACGGCAGTAAATAGACACCCTGGACAAGTTCTCGAAGAAGCTTGTGGCGGCTCCTTCAGAGGACGGGATGCCTCCTCCGTTGAAGACTTTGATGAGCTTGCTCTTCCCATCTGCCTGGGATGCAGATAAACGAAACCAGACAGATCTACACACGTTGGAGCTGTCTCAAACGGCGCACAAACATGGGCACATGCTGGCATTGGAAGTCTTCAGTATCTCTCGACACACACGATCACGTTCTTTGGCGCACTGGCGCAAAGTCTCTTTAACATAGTCTGGGGGTGGCGGACGGATAGTCAGCTTTTCAATAAGTTGGTACATCAGCGTGAAGAACGAGTTCTCCACATCAAGATCCAGAGACTTCGCTGCTAAGTGTACAACCGCGCGACCGCGCGCCTGCAAAACTTTTGCACGCCCGGCCCCTTCACTGTCCTGCGCGATCGAAAGGGAGCCTCCCCAGATTAAACATAAGCCCGCTGAGTGTGCAGCGTCTCCTGAACGTCTGCAATGCTAATGTTTGGCACAAAAAATGGCTTCACATCATCCGATTCTTCCTTCACCTTCAATAGCTCTTTGGATTTGATTCGCCGCCGCTCAGCGGGTTGCGCCTCCTGAGTCGATGCTGGAGCACGGTCGCCCGTCAACTTGATCAACTCTCTGAGGATTTCGTCGAACAGCTTCTCCTGCTCAAGTAGCTTTCTCCCACGCTCCTGACACGCATCGCTTTTGTCCAAGGCACCGGCGTCAGTCTTTGAAGGCCGGCCGCGTAAAGGCGGACTCTTCGCCGCGCAAAAGAATCTGCCCAACACCAAAGCGTTCTCCCGGCGTGCGGGACAGCCTTGCACATACTCTACGAAGCCTCGCGCCTGAAGGGTCTCTGGGAGTACCATTTCCAGGTGCTTCTGTTTGAACGCGACGACCTTCTGCAAATTGGAACACGTCAGCAGAGGCCTATAGACTTCGGCAGTCTTGCCCCGAGCAGATGTTTCTGCCAAGATCTTGTTGTTCACAAGCTCCTTGATCAAGTTCTCTTTTGTCAAGTTCGGGCCACCTGGAGCTTTGAGACGCAAGAGCATGGGTTTCGTGATATCAGGCCTGCGCAGCTCCAGCAGATGACTCACGAAGAATTTGCGCAACAAATCCCACTTTTTGTCTGGGTCCTTGTCGACGTCCTTGTCGTCATCATCAACTTGAATAATTGCTTGTGCGCGGTTGGAAATTGCTCTCATGTCTCGCGGAGGCAATCCGCATGCCTCACGCATTGTGCTTTCTGTGAGCCCATGATCACCGCCCCACTGCACGTAATCTTCGATCATCTGAGCACATTCCTGCGACAGACAAGTTGGCCGCAACACTTCATTAATAAGCACGAGTGCCTTGCAGCAGTGTGTCTGCTGCCCGAAGATCTATACATCTGCAAGTCTTGTTCATTGAACTGAAGTGTGAAGCGTGTTACGACTGATACTTCTAGTGTTGCAGCGACAACCTGACATCTACATCTGTGTCCTGCTGATTGTGTTGAGCTTCGAAAGCGTGCTGCAGCTGCAAAGCAGCACATATCGCCCAAGGCGATGTTAAGAAACATTCGAGATCTTGGTCTTTCGCGAAGATACCATCTCTGTCGATATCTTCATATGCGCCTTGACATCTGCAGAGACAGTCACTCTCTCACACACACAAACACACAGAAGCATCCCACCCTGCCCGCTGGTTACAACATAGAAGTTCCAGTCAAGTTGCATTCGATGGCTTTTGCATCCTCAAAATGTGCTCTGATCCTGAAGACGAGTGAGCGCCTCAATATTGCGTTGAACTCCCGCTTCGTGACGTTGGCAAAAGCGAAGAAACGATTTGCTTCGAGTCTTTTCCAGCCTTTGCATTGAATCATGCGTGTGCGAAGTCCGTATGGCTTCCGGCCGGGGATGCCTGTGCAGGCACACAGGAAACAGCCACGATGACGAGCCATCTACTCTAACGCAGTAAAAAATCTGTTGCAACCGCTTTTTGCCGCCTTCGCCAGACAAGAACTTCTTGTATAAAACATCGCGGAGACGTCGATTAGTGCCAGGAGCTTCTTGACCTGACGCTGCAGCGTAGACAGTAGCGAGCAACTGGTCTTGTAACTAGCGAAGCATGTGTGTCCAGCCTGTCATGATGAATTTGCCATTAAGCTGTTCAACCTGCTTTCTCATTTCATCCTCATGATACCAAATGTTGGGGTCAAAGTATGCGAAATTGTGGCCGTACATCTCCTCGCAAACAATGGCCACGGCAAATCGTCGTGTCTGCTATGAATGCATGCAACTTACTACGGCACGGCACGCCTCCAAATCAGCTGAATACAGAGACTGACCAACGACGCCGGACGATAGACCTATGAAGATGCGCACAACATTGAGAGCTCTCTTGGCCAGCGCCTCAGCAGCTCAGTGTCATGTACAGTTACAGGTGGCACACCAACTGGACGCGACAACGACATCTGGCATGCAACACAGCCACCTGAGCAGCTTGGCAGCATTTGAAAGCCGCCACATTGCTCCAGAACGTCTGCTTATAAAACTTAAGAAGGCGCTGCATCGCATGATCCGGAACAACGCGCTTGATACTGTGCGGGATGTGGACGAATATGTCCTTCGCATCTGCCCGCTGTGCCTTAGTTCAAAGAGCAGATCTTGATGACCCACCATCCTACACTTGCAGTCTATCAGTTCTGACAGAAGAAGCGAACGCAAGCAACTGTCATTGCTTCCTAATTCAGCGAAAGCACCTGCTGAGCTGGGCTTCCATCCGGGTAAATGACACAGCAGTCGTTGTAGCAGCACCCCGACACTTGTATCATTGGCTGCTGGCAATACTCGATCATGTAAGAGATGAGTTTTTCCTTTGCCATCTCCCTGATGATGTTGCGTTTGAACGAAATGATCATGCGAGCAGAGTAAATATTCCAGTGGTTAACGGGTACTTCTCCTTCTCCCTCACGGGCGGCGTCGCCTTCATCGGCGGTATCAAGACATCTGAAAAATAGGCTTCGCAGATGGACAGCGTGCACAACAGCTACGTCTAGCCTCGTCGTGCAAACTCGACGGATAGCCCATTGCCATTGTAAAATGAATTATGCCAATCCATTACAGCGGCAGCTGCCGCTGCCACGGACTGGTAGCGCACGAAACCGACGTACTCATGACCCTGCTCCCACACCTGCGATGAAACTGAAGGATTTTTGTGAGCACGGCGTCCTATGTTTTGAAACACACAGTTCCCTAGCCTCCACGTTTTCCACAGGGCCCTTGCGCGAGAAGTCCGTCTTCAGGCGCTCGACACTATTGCATGGGAGGTTCTTCACGAAAATGCGTCGAGGGCCTGATCAAGCTAACAGAAAAATCCCTTTTACATTCCAAAAACATGCACAGCCTGGCGGTGATCGACTTCGCGGCCGGAAGGGCGTAGGCTCTGGCGGCGTGGTGGGCACCCTGGAACCTTCACGCGCTGAGCAAGAACTAAACTTGAAGGTTTGTGGCAGGAGTCACTGCCTGGATCTGCTGCGAGTGAGAAAGTCGACGGCGTGGGGCTTGAAACAAATGGTTTAAAAAAAGTTTGAAATCAATTTGAACAAACATGAACAAACTGAGGGCCTGACTCGAAAGACCAGGCAACACGCGGTACTGGTGGGGACCTTATGCTTTTCGTCATCAATAGAACTGAATAAATCTCTCGAGTATAGGCAGTCATGTTTAAGCTGAATGCCAACCCATTTCTGGTTGTCCGCGTAGCCGGTATTCACCGACCCACCGTGCGCTAGTTAGACGAAGCCATCTAGACGCACCGCGAAGACTTTCATCGTCAGGACCTTGCTCAATACAGTCGGGAGTATTATGCTCAGTTGGTGCCTGGAACCATTTCGGTCAAGTAAGCACGAGACTTGGCCCTGGCTATTCGTGTACCCCACCATCTGTCCCAACAGAGACCCGGAGTTGGCCATGACTGACCACGAAGGGGCAAGCGCATTGTCGAAAACTCGTGCTCACAAAACTGCGGCAACTCCACGGCTGACAACAACATGTTGCGAGCATCGCACGGTATCCACATGTGCTACTGATTAAGCCTTGCCGACAAAAGGCGTTACTACGAAAACTATGAACATATGGTCCCAAACCAAAAAAAACGCTTCGTTCTAGCTGGACACACATTAAACTTTTGTATTTGGACGCATGGTGTGTTCAAAGAACGGCTATGCTTTTCTAGAAGAGCTTGATTCAGGTCTGGTTAGGATGGCATTGCTTCATCATTGCAGCACGCGATGGTTCTTGTTAACCGTGGGATCTGTAAGCGATGTGGCTAGTGACGTGAATGCAAATGTGCGGTTTGGAAACGTCATGTTGCGTGCTTTGACAAGCACAGCTGTTTTTATGCAACAAATCGGTATGAGTTTCAAAAAACCTTCGAAGCAAGCACGGTGAGTGAAAACTTTAGGTAAGCACGGGGTCCACCAATGGTCAGTCAGTTTGACCCATGAGTCACCGAAACTCGGCCATTATTGTTTTTTTCATCTGCTCTGTTTTTCGATGTAGCGGCATAGGTCATCCTGAGTCATCCTCATCCACTCGACCGACGTCAGCTTCAACACGTGCTCGGCCGGCGACGCTCAAGGTGCCTTGAAGAAGGGTTTCAGCATTATGCAAAAAATCAACGAGAATTTCGGAATTCGCCCGAGGGCAAACTGTGGTAAGTTGGATGTGTTCCATTGACAACAAGCGCTGCACATTACTTTTTCAACTGTTTCGCTTCCCGTGGCGATCTCTGAGATTTTCGGACTTCCTTCGGGGTCCTGTTCGAAGTAGCAATCCGTACTGGAACGTTTTCGCAGCTGTGGAGGACCGATTGGCGGGCGGGGAAAAACGCCGAAACTTTCTGCAAAAAATCGGCGAGAGTTTCGGAATTCGCCCGAAGGCAAACTGTGGTGATTGGATAGTTCATCTTTTCCAACTTTAGTCTAGTGGCAGCGCCGTTACACAAATCCAACTGTAGAGTTGTGACGCTTGTTGGTGGCGAAATAGTTGCATATAGTAGCAAACCCGTTGTTTAAGCTACTGGCGGAGCCGTTGCAATTTACACCTGCTGCTTAGTGGCGGAGCCGTTACACATCTCTGGAGCCGTTCCACAAGCTACTGGCGAAGCCATTACAATCTACACCTGCTGCTTAGTGGC